TCAATATCTTGTATCTTTTTTCTTTAATTATCCGACACATTTTACATGGAATATTGCATTGTAAAAAGATGATTAAAATTGATAAAATATCTGAGATCTTGAATTAGAGGGAAAACCCAAAAACGTTAAGACGTAATCGAAATTATTGTTAACGTATTTTTGATGAACATAAAAACATATTCACTTGAGGTTCCAACTGCTCTATCATCTTAATAGTTGCATTTTTCTTTTTCTTTTTTTTTTTCAGTTCAACTAAACTGACATTTTCAATATTTTTATTAGGTAACAGAGTATGCAATTTTGATCTATTTTTTTTTATATTGTATCCAATACAACCAGGAGACAGATCAATATAAGCACTTGTTGCTTGGTTCTGAATCCTATTTGCCACAATGTGAATTCATATTGTATAAGATATATTTAAATTCATTATAAAATATTGTTTACACTAACTGCTCTGTAAATTGAACTCTTGTCGGTCAATCGAAATTTCTACATTCTTTTGAAACAAAAAAAGCTAATCTAGTTCCATTTTAATTTACGGAATAGAAAAGTTCTGATCTTATATGAAAAATAATATTTATTGTTTTGTAGCACTATTAAAATGTATTAAAAAAGAGAAGAAAGTATGGTAAGGGATATAATTAAGCGGCCCTGAAAATTCAACGAAAACGGAAATTTGTCTGATATAAAAATAAGGAGATGTGGCATGATTACTAATGAGACAACTATTCACTAGACACCAAATGAAGTAGATGTATTTAATACTTTATTCCAAAAGCAAATACAGCGTATAAGATATATACATATACTGATAATAATTTTATATGCACCAATAATTTTTACAAGATATTCTTGAGTTACACAATATATAAATATAAAGGTGTACATGACATAAATTTTAATACGAGATACGAGCGGAGAATGTAAGCATGGACGTGTTCTTCTTCAAAGGTGTTTTTAAATCGACAATTGCTACTGTATATTAAAGAAGTTTCATTACATATTTATTATGGCTAGTTTGGTCCCAAATCTTACATACATGTTTCACCGTCAAATTCCTTGCAGTCGACACTTTTTTGTGCTGTAGACGATGTGGATTACGTGATGTAGTTCTAACAGAAAGACTAAACTGGAATCCGCTTGTATTTACGTTAGGCTATATGAACAAAGTGTAGTAGTAAGCCGACAACCAGCTTAACAGAAAGACTAAACTGGAATCCGCTTGTATTTTCGTTAGGCTATATGAACAAAGTAAAGTTAGTAAGCCGAGAACCAGCTTAACAGAAAGACTGAACTGGAATCCGTTTGTATTAACGTTAAGCTATATGAACAAAGTGTACTAGTAAGTCGGGAACCAGCTTAACAGAAAGACTAAACTGGAATCCGCTTGCATTTACGTTAGGCTATATGAACAAAGTAAAGTAGTAAGCCGAAAACCAGCTTAACAGAAAGACTAAACTGGAATCCGCATGTATTAACGTTCAGCTTTATGTACAAAGTGTAGTAGTCAGCCGAGAACCAGCTTAACAGAAAGACGAAACAAGTGTATGAAAAAAGGATGGTTTTAAAAACTATATTACCAATTCAAACAACTACTTGGCTATAATGGTAGACATATATTTATGTTGTTTTGAAACCTTTTGTTTTAGTCAACACGGCACATGTCAGTTTATAGTATTAGATATCTGGGAGAGTTATTCAAAGTCCTTCCAACAATCTGTCAAAAAATATGTTTGCTTTTAATATGCCATACAGCAGATTTGTTTCGAATTGCAAAACATTGTTACCAATTGAAAGTGTATCTTCGATTTGGCTGACAGCATTTTTAACGATGTTTTATTTCTAAACAAAAATGTTGAAACGTGATGATATACTTACTTATTATGGCTTATACTTGTTTTGTTTGTTTTTAAATTGTCATTTTCAAGTGAAGCCCTTGCAATGTCAATGTTTGATCGACTATTTGCGTGTATTTGATTATATGATAGACAACTTTTATCAAGTTGTTTTCCTTGATTATTGAAGTTTAACTGTCGGAAATCAACAGCAAAAATGATGGATGGAGATTTGATATTTGCCAGACAAATTTAGATTATCTAGACTTGATAATTTGTAATTGAAATGAAAAATTACAATCGTTTTCTATTTTAAATGTGCTGATGCAATAACAAAGTTTAATGACTTTTGTAGTAGAAAGAACAATATTTGTTCGATTGTTTTGCCCGCTTTAGTCCGTAATTGCTTATTTACCCAATACCGATTTGAGTCTGTTATTACAAACTTTTAATTTAAGTTGTTTCCCTTTGTCAATTCTAGACTGGTTCTATACTGGACAAACTGGACTGCTGTCCATTACATCTACTTTATTTGAACTTGGATGGATAGTTGTCTCATTGCCAATCATACCAATACTTCTTATTTTTTTTTTATAAAGTAAAATAAGGTGAAAGTAATTTATAGACTCTTTAACCAATATTTATTGAAAACAATATTTTATTTGAAATCAAAGATGAAATGTAACTAAATATTTGGAAAAACTTACAAATTATACATTGTAATATGACGCACAGATAAATTTGCTCTTTCCGCTTGCTCTGCATTTTGATGAAAATGTGTGTTCCTCCTAAGGGAAACAACTCGAACAGTGGAATAATAATTACAAGGTCAATATCGGAATTGTCGAATAGACCATTTGTTTATATTACACTGTATCTGTTTCTTCAGTGCGCATGTGCAGCGGTATCAACAATTTAGAAAAGATTCCCGCTAAAACCTGTGCTAGAGCTTGTCTTATTAACCTGCTTTGAGATTTCAGTTTTGCTCCATGTTAAAGTTCTTACTAAGACTTTTAGATAACGGACATCAAACAAGGCCCTGTTCATTTGCTTTTCATTTTCTTAGATGAGAGTAGGGATTTTTTGTTATGTATAAAAATTTATACGCCTTTTCATTTTTTCAATTACATTACATGTCCTTTGAATTTCAAACAAGCAAAACGAGGCTGTGCTGATAAACGGTAACAGCTCCTATTAAAAACAAGGCGGAAGATAAAAAAGAGGAAATCAAAATTCATAATCATGGCAAAAACCAACAAACGAAGATCTACACAACACTACATAAATCATGGCAAAAAACAACAAATGAAAGTCTAAACAACACGACATAAATCATGGCAGAAAGCAAAAACAAATGAATGTCTACACAACACTACATAAACCATGGCAAAAACAACAACAACAAATTAAGGTCTACACAACACTACATAAATCATGGCAAAAGACGACAAATGAAGGTCTACACAACACTACACAAATCATGGCAAAAACAACAAATGAAGGACTACACAACACTACATAAATCATGGCAAAAAACAACATATGTAGGTCTACACAACACGTCATAAATCATGGCAAAACAACAAATTAAGGTCTACACAACACTACATAAATCATGGCAAAAGACGACAAATGAAGGTCTACACAACACTACACAAATCATGGCAAAAACAACAAATGAAGGACTACACAACACTACATAAATCATGGCAAAAAACAACATATGTAGGTCTACACAACACGTCATAAATCATGGCAAAAACAACAAATGAAAGTCTACACAACACTACATAATTGCAACCCATTACATTCCTCAATGGTACAAAACTAGTACATATAAAAAAAAACTAGTTCAGTGTACCGTTTATTGTAGTGGTGTACTGTAAATGTTTGTTGTACATCTGCTGTTGAATTATGTTGTTGTTGGAAGATGAAAAGAGAAACAGACATTAAATAGTTACACCGACTCAGAAAACCTTCAAATAGAGGATGATCTTTAAACGTATGGATATAAAAAAATGACAAAAATTTGTACTTGCGCAATCCGGTATGTGCAAACGTAATGCAACGAGTGGACTCAAACTGAAAATAAGAATATATTGTTCTGATATTTGATGAACAAAATTGATGTAATCCGAATACAGTTATAGTTACATCTCTTTATAAAAAATGACGTAGTGGAAATAACGTTCAGCTGTCTTCAAAAGGTTTGTGCCTAATTGATAAAGGAGGATCAAGGTAGATATAATTCTTTAGGAAACGTGGTAAAACTTAATAATTTTATCATTCAAATTTTCTTATATTCATGTTGTTGTCTCATATCTTATTTTAATATTTTTCACCCCCCCCCCCCCCACCGTCACCGGAGGGGGCATTAAGTGTTACCCTTGTCTGTCCATACGTTCCGAAATTGGTTTCCGTTCTCTAACTTTAGTTTGCCTCAACCAAATGTTATGAAACTTATACACAATGCTTATTACCACAAAACACAGATCAAGTACGAATTTGGGTGGCGTCACTTTTACCTTGATTTATGCCCCTTTATAACATTATATGCATTCGGGAGCATCATCTGTGTCCCATGGACACATTCTCCATTTATTTTATATTAATTTGAAATTTAGTGTTGAGGACAGATATTTGATCGCTTCTGGATTGGTTTTTTTAAGACTCGGACAATCAAGAACTTACATATTAACTTACCTTTTATGTCTGATTCTTAAATTTGTTTTCAAATTGTCTTTTTCAAGTGAAGCTGTTGTAATGTCAATGTTCGATCGACTATTTGCTGGTATTTAATTACTTCTTAGACAAACTTTTATCAAGTTGTTATCCTTTTGAATTATTGAAGTTTAACAACTTGTTGTTCGGTGTTGATTTTGCTCATTGTTGAAAGCCGTACGGTGTCCCATATAGTTTCTTGCTTCTGCGTCATTTGGTCTCTGGTGGTGAGTTGTTTCATTAGCAATCAATAGATATATGTCTATTTTTATATTGAGAATAGACATATATCTATTGACCAAGACTGTATGTTGACCTCTAGGTGACTGTTTTGACCTCTAGTTGACGGTATATAACTGTTGACCTCGAGATGACTTTGCATTATTTGTATCGTTGGGTTTCTGTATCAGCTTTTTATAATCATATTATTTATCATTTCAGATAGTAACTTTGTTCTTGGAAATGCTCAAGCATCGAGCTTCCCAATTGTGTATTGTTCCGATGGATTTTGTGAACTCACGGGATACGCACGAGCTCAAGTTATGGGGAAGAGCTGTGCCTGTAAATTCTTATATGGTGCTGATTCAAACGAAACGGACAAAACTAAGATAGACGAGGCTCTGGAAGAAAGACAAGAACTTAAAACAGAAATATATTTATACCAAAGAAACAGTAAGTCAATAGTATATTTCGATTAGATATATTTATCTTGACATGTTAGGGGGTCTGGAAGGGGGTCCTTCATTTCTATATTCTTTCATTTTTTGGGCCATTTTTCTCTATTCTTTATACTTTTTGCCCATTCTTCTCTATTATCTATACTTTATCACCTCATTATTCTCTATTCTTTATTTTTTTGGTCCATTTTTCTCTATTCTTTATATTTTTTGCCCGTTATTCTCTATTCTGTAAACCCCCATCCACACCCTTATGTACAAATGTAATATCAATAATACAATTTGTTTGTTGATGTGGTTCATAAGTGTTTCTCGTTTTTTATATAGATTAGACCGTTGGTTTTCCTGTTTGAATGGTTTTACACTAGTCATTTTTGGGGCCCTTTATAGCTTGCTGTTCGGTGTGAGCCAAGTCTCCATGTTGAAGGCCGTACTTTGACCTATAATGGTTTACTTTTACAAATTGTGACTTGGATGGAGAGTTGTCTCATTGGCACTCATACCACATCTTCTTATATCTATTGTGTGTTGACTAGGTGGCTATCTGGTGTAATTTAACTTGATAAAACACCATTCCTTCATATCGCGTGGGTAGAATAAATTATGCCAACCTCTTCAGAATTTGGCCCAGATAGTTAGCTGGTACAACCGCGATAAAATGTGTCCTCTGTACCAGGTGGGCAGTTTCTTGTACTGTCAGCTATCTATGATTGTTAATTGGTACCAGTAGCGAACCTGGTTACCTCATCATAATTGTCTTGGGTAAAAGTGCAGTACTGTATGTTTATCTTGTGTATTGTTATTTATAGTAAAACTTGTTTTCTCTCGTTTTAATCAATATGTGATTGCCCTTATGATATGCTGTCAAACACAAACAACGTTACAGGGGGAATGTGACATACGAGAATTATAATGTTTCCCGCTCTTAATTCCTTTGCTAAGTACTCTTTTATTTGTCCAATGGGCATCGGTAATTTGATTGCATTTCCCTTTTAGTCATTTTGATATTGCATAATATTCTTTATCGGTTAGTTGTAACAATATTAACTTAAACGTAGTGATTTAAACATCAATGTCTGATAATTCCTTTTATAAGTGGCGGGAAATTGCAAATTGCATATGCATCTATCTTTAAAGCAATAATGAAAAGAAAGGCTGCATTAATATTACATATTTTTTGTTCGTTTAACAATTTCAATTCCAAAGAGATAATTTGGATGATTTAATGGAAAGAATATTTGAACGCACATTTTACCTTACTGATAATTGCAAATTAATTTTACATTTCGTCAGCTATCAAAAGCATATTCAAAGAAAAAGGCTTTGTCATTACGTGTAGCAATAAATATGAGGGTCTGTATGGGGTTTAAAGAATAGAGAATAATTCAGTTGGGCAAACAATTTTGAAAAAATACAGAAAAATGGGAGATAATATTTCAGAATAGAGAATAGAGAAACTGGGCAACAAAAATATCGAAAAGAGAATATTTGAAAAATAAATAAAGAATAGAGAGAAAAGTAGCCTCAACATTAAAAGAATACAAAAATGAAGACCCCCATCCAGACCCTCATGTGTCAGCTATCAAAGCACATTTGAACAAAAAGTGTATCTTCAGCCATATATTGGTTTACCTTTTTAGAGAATAGCTGTTCCATTAGATAAAGATAGGCTTACTATTCAGACTGAGATAGTATGACAATCCATGAGGAAAGCTGTGCCATTAATCAGAGATTTTAAATTTCTCATCAACTAATCATTTACATTAGTCACCGTCAGTCACCTGATCCCTCTCAATATTTCTTAAAATAATATTACAATGAAATTTATTGTGTTGTTACAACCCGTTCGCATCGACATTTGAATAAAAATGTTGTAAAATTTCTTTGAAAATCATATATTGGCAATATAACACGAGAGCAAGTGCAATTGTAGGCTGACTCTATTGTATCAATTCCTACTTGAGTAGAGTTTACCTATCTAGAAAGCCACAATTCGCAATAAATATGTACATTATTGTGTTCATTAAAATATTTTTGATCATGGCTTATGTTTCCAAAGTAATGATTCCTGTAAACTGTGATGACTGGTCGTTTCATTGCATTTATGTATTTCTCAATAGTCATTTTTTTTTCAATTTGTTTGTTGTTTTTTTTTATATTATTATTATGATTATTTCTTTCTTTGGTTTTATTTTAACATTTTATCAACAAAGGACGCACCTGTAAAATTCTTTTCTGGGATAACTTATTTTTCAAATCTAATTAAGATGGACACATATATTGTTAAATGGAAATATTGAAATAGTAAAGGAAATTGTACCTTTCTTTTTGTCACGAATGTACTTGATTTGGGTTGTTCGTGATGCGCGTGATCTGTGTGCGGAAATCATATCATGTGCTTTTCATTCATATCGTAAATTTTATAGGTTGTAGCTAATTTTACAACATTTGTGCAACAATACTTCGCAATAACAGCACAATGACAAAATAAAACCGACAAACTAGTATCTCAATTGTTTGTAAAACAATTGAAAGGTCTTTCCTGTTAAAGTGATGTTTTCGTAATGTACTTTGTACGACCTTTCATTTGATATACGACAAGCATACCTTCTGAAACTTTTCGCTTTTTACACTTAATGACCCCATCCGCCTTAATTTTCGAGATCGGAAGTATGATATATGTAATGTAGACTTGATGATCTTTCATTTGATATGCGACAACGCCATCTTCTAGAAAGTTTGATTTTTGCACTTAATAACCCCATCCAACTCATTTCTAGAGGACAGGAATCTGATATTTGAAATGTACATGTTACGACCTTTCATTTGAAATACAACAACCTTACCTTAAAAGAAAATTTTATTTTTTGCACTCAATGACCCCACTCAACCCATTTTTGGGGGACGTCAATTTGATATTTGAAATGTACGCTTTATGGACTTTCATTTGATATGCGACAACCTAACCATCTGATAAGTTTGAATTGTTTGCACTAAATGACCCCACCCATCACCCTGGGATGTAAAAGGGGTTTAACATTTTCATTTTTGAGTAGAGCTCGTTAAAACCTTCAATTTGATATATCAAATGACCCCATTTGGCAAAGTGCCAAAAATGATGCAATATCAATTGTATAAATAGAAATTATGAAACTTACAAAGTAAATGCAAAACATGAAAATTTCAAATTGAGTTTTTGGGTTTTTTTTTCATTGAATGTTTTTGGTATTTAGTCTAACATATAATCATGTTGAACTCTTTAATTTCTGAAAATTTCAGGTGGTAAACTGTTGTTGATTCAGAAATACATGCCTCCGCTTGCAAAATTTTAAACTGCATTATCTCTTAAACGACAACAGATATCTCAAATCTGTTAAAAGAAAAATGATCTGCAGTAAAAGGACAACATTTAAAAAAAAACATTTGGACAATTCCAAGGTTCATCAAGGTCACAATGAATTATCAAATATATGATGCAATATCAAACTTGAGAACCGGAAGTCGTAGAGACATAGGACTACCCCCATTCAACTCAAGACCACTTGACCTTTCAAATGTTACAAGATCAAGGTCATAGTACACTCTGAAGGTCAAGGTTAAATTTCATCATGACCTGACATTGACCTCAAATTGAAGGTCTTGAATTACTGATCATCTTTCCAGTTTATAGAAGGTTGATATCTGTTACATTTAAAAAGATATACATATGTTACTATAGTTTTAAGAATTATCTTGATGTAACTTTTGAACAGACGGTCGGACATTTTTAAGCTTAATGTATAAAATGTAGAGCTCGTCGAGAGGAACATTTTATACACAGTATGTATGCAGCAAACTCTTATCGTTTTCTTAATATGCAAGCTTGAAATTGCAGCGTAATTTTTTTTTCCACTCGGTGACCTTTGACCTTAGGTGCAAATTGAAGGTCACATGAACTTAAGATTATTGGTGTAGGTCCCAAGTCTCTACGACTTCTGGTTCTCGAAATACAATTTTTCAAAAATTGTGTATATTTTTTCAAGAGAAATTACTCCTTATAAGGGTCAATAACAAAATTATTTTATATGTTCATTAACATTGCCATCTGTTCCTGTAGATGTTGCTGTTTTCAAATCGATTCTATCCCTAATACTTTTTGAGAAAAATGCAAAGGAAAGAAATTGCTTTAAGGGGATATAACTCGCATAGGGGATGATGAAATCAAATGCAGCCTCATATGGTAGTACATCATGATGAGATCTACATATTGTCCACATAAGGTCATGATATCTTTAAAAACAACGAGGGGAGGCAATGTCGAAAAAATCCAATAAAAGGGAGATAACTTCTACAGGGGATGATGAAATCCTTAACAGGGTCATGTGGTAATACTTCATGATGAGGTCTATCGATGGTTCATATTTGGTCTTGATAACTTTAACAGAAACGGGGGGAGGGCATTCCCATAAAAATGTTGGAAGAAAAAAAAGAAAAAAAAAAAAAAAAAAAAAAAGAAAAAGAAAAAAAAAAAAAAAAAGAAAAAAAAAAAACATTAGAAAAACAATAAGGTCTTTCCTAACGGAGTGGAAAGACCTTAAAAACAAATAATCACTACAATTAAAAATAAGGATTGAGCAACAGAAAATGCATATTAACACTACTTGTTTCAAAGCTCCTCACGAACTTGGAGTGAACAATCAATTTAACATTGACACAGCGCTCTGTTTTGTATCAAACTTAAAATCAAATCCGGATCAAGTTTTATCCCTCACGGAAGATTGATTTAAAAAATAAATTTACGTAAGGATTTGAAAATAAATTAAATTTTGATCGTCTTTATTCCTTGTGTAATAGGATTAGGACTGGGACAAATGTCATCAAACAATTCAAATTAGATTGTATAGTTCATGAATAACAAGTACCTGGTCCAAACGGTACATGCGGATCAGGTGATAGATATTGCTTTTTACTTGGAAATAGTTAGATCGCAGGCTATACAAATTTCCGATTCTTAAT